GTGTGTGTGTGTGTGTGTGTGTGTGTGTGTGTGTGTGTGTGTGTGTGTGTGTGTGTGTGTGTGTGAAGGCTTGCCTTCACTGGTGCTGGGGCCTCTACATGACACTGTAGTGTGCCCCAGTGAGGTCTTCTCCTCCCCTATAGCCTCAGCTCAGTCCACCATTTTAAATGACAACAAGTAATAACTTAGTAAGCAGCACAGTAGCATCAGCAGCATCTCAGGCAGCCAAACTCACAGAGCCTTTCTTTCCTTTCCTTCAGGAGCTTCTTCTCCAGCAGCTGCCAGAGAACTCTCCCCTGCCAGCCCCAGGCCTAGGGCTTAGATGTGCCCAGGGCCCTGCATCCTTCTGGTCAGGTGCTAGGGGTGTTGGTCTAAGGACATAGCATTGGTAGATACGGTTCTTTCCTTTGGGTCAATCTAATCTGGTATGTTTTAGCAGAATAGTTAGAGAAATATATCTCAGCAAGCTTTTGGACTGAAAAACCCTTTGTCAGGCTGAGGAAGCACCTGCAGTCGGGGGGGGGCTGCTGTTCCATCAGAGGGGGCATCAGAGGTAACTCAACCTACTCCTGCTTTCTTCCTTCAAATAATCTGCTTGCAAAGACCATGGCTACAATGGAATCATGTGCCCTGTGTTACAATACTTGAAAATCGATTGTATGTGCACAGCAGGTCCAGCTGGGTTCTGAGAGCTGCAATTCTACCCCCTTACATTGGCGTGAGGGGGACTAGATTTATATCAAGTGTTCTCATAGGTGGGTTAACTTGGCCCATCTGTCATTGTTTTTTTTAATGGTCTGTAGCTGGATTCTAATTGGACCATCAGTGTTTGAAGGACTCCCACTGGCATTATTTTTTGGTTCCATTGTGCAGAATAGCAGGAAGGGGAATGGAAATTCCATCAAGCTCTCAATAGATATTCTCAGCTTACCATATTTTAACATGGTTTCTTTGTCTCAGAGTATGCTATGGAAGAATTTACTTTTCCACCCCACTTATGAGTAAATGCTGCCTTAACATCCTTAACAGTTTATGGAAGAGCTTGAAACAACCCAGGTGACATTTTATTGGCAGAACAGTGGCAAAGTTGGCAATAAATTCTCTCTCTATTTTACCTGTAGGTTAGTGATGTTGCACTACAACAAGCAGTGGTGTAGAAACAACTGTAGTTGTTTTGAGAATCAGAGTTCCCCCAGTGATAGGTGTTTTTAGAATATAATTAGAATTTCTTATTCACAAGACTGAATGATGTGATCTTCAGTAATATGCTACCTCCTCCTGTGCCATAAACTACTACAAACAATATTGGAAGTTGTATTGTTACATCAAATATTAAGGCATAACAGCTATATTTGGCCTTGGAAGGAAGTATTACAATTGAATGTTCATTGATTTAACTTTTTCGTTAAAAGAGATTCATTATCAAAGCTAGGCCTAATGTGCCAGTTATAGGGCTTCTGCAAATATCGTTCCCGATTTGTCTGTGGACTTGAGAAACTGACACACTTTACCAACATATAGGGATTGACCCATATATTTCGTAATTAAATGTTATCTGCTATAACCACCAAATCACATCTGTATATTAACCAAAGATTATATTTATTCTGTGTATCACTTACATGCAGGTTATTCCCACAAAACCTAGACACCATTTAACTCTTAACTAAGATCTCAAAATAAGGCTTACGTGAAACTTAAGGTAATACATGGACCTGTGCACTTAGCTGAATATCAACTTGTAAAATGAGTGTCACATTAACCTAGATATATATGACTTACCTGTTTCACGTTATAACACAGTGATCCAAAATTTTTGATTACAGCAAGAGGCATGACAGATAACTACAGCTTGGAACTAACTACAGTAACTTTGTGTTGGATCCAGATACCCCAATAAATCACACAAATAGTACTTACCTAAAGTGTCACTGCCCTGTAGTAAAGTAGGGTTTTTTGAAGAGGAATTCAAGACAGTTCTGTCTGCATGGTAGTAATATGCCAGACAATCTACCCACTATAAAAAATCTTGACAGAATCATTAGTATACACAGAGACCAGCTATCTAAGGAAACATGCTTAGAATGTATAGGTTATTAGTTTAAAAGGGTTTGAAGAGTAGTTAGTCCAACGAGAAGCCTACCATCGTTAAGACAAATAAATTTGTGTAAGTCTATAAACTTGGTAATAAGATTCCATAAACAACTCTATTCTATGGCCTGCTACATTTGCTCCTACCATACATGATGTAAAATCGCCTCTTTGACATCTATTACAATTATATTCCTGACATGTCATTAGTTTCTGTCCTCAATGTGTAGCATGGCATATTACTGTTAAATCTGCTTTGGAAAACTAAAGACTATGAAAGACTCACCCAAATATATTCACTAGCATGGTGAATAGTCTGCCACTATTATTTGACTTGTGGGTGGATTTAGGGTGCAGATCTGGTTGCACTGTCTATGGAAATTTAGTTCTGATTTGATCATGAGGAAATATAAATGAATTAGTTTAGTGTTCTTTGTACCCTCAGCAGTGGATAAATAGAGGTGTTTATAATTCAGACACTGATGGTTATTTCCTTGGTGTCATCGTATGTTGAAATGGTAGATAGGGATATGTATCTGGAAACTATATTGAAGGCAAAATGTAAGAATTATTGTGGTCTCTTGACTATTCTGACAGCTTGGCAAATACATTCAAGTACATTTACTTATGTATATGTTTGGCAAATACATCCAAGTACATGTATTTGGCAAATACATCCAAGTCATCAATAGCCCTTGATGACTATTATGAATAATCCATTTCTGACTATAACATTTAGTGTTGATTATGTCTTTCACATTATGCCAGAAGACATGTTATGTTCACCAACTTGAAACAGGGATGTAAGAGTTCATCAGCAGTTGAATAGCTCTTCCTAGGCCTGATACGCAACAAGGCCAGAGTTCAAGAGACCTCACTTAACTTCCACAGGCTTAGTGGAA